CGGCGAACAACTGAACACCAAGTTATACTACCCGAACTACAAAAACAACAATCAACACCGTTGTTCACAAAACTGTCAAGGTAAGTTTTCTCAGCACCTTCAAGAAAAACAAGTGTACGTTTGACTCCAAATCCCGACTCGTGTAGGCAAGAGCTCCATATAATACTTCATGAGGTCAAAGACGACCTCAGGTGTCTAAGTACATGTAAATACCACTGGGTCATCTTGAAGCCACTAGCGGAAGTCCTGGCTTACCCAATCACCCGACCGTACAACTTGTCCGTGAGCTGCAGTCCGCTGCNCAGTGGAGCGGAAGATGGCACAGTAGATCGTAAAGTAGAGACGAAGGATTCCGTAAGTAAAAGTTCGCTCTCTAGATTTACAGAGGGCGTTCGCCTCTGTAAACCATAGGCTACAAATAGAAAATATAAATGCCTTCCGATTATCGTAACTAATATTTAGCCGGAGAACGGAATACCTAGTAAGTCACACACTTTGGGGTTGATGGGGGAAAAGTCCATGCGGGAATCTGCTTGCAGCGGTGTTCCATAAGGGTGTGTTGGGGTCCCTGCTCTTCATTTCTATGCCTTGAAGATATGAAGATAAACAAAATACCCTGCCTTCCTATTCACCGGCGACGTGAAGATCGTCGACGATCCAGGAGAGCCGGGTGAAGTCCATAAATGGACCGAGGAGTGGCTGTTACCGCCGAACGCTGGCGAGTACCAACAGTCGCTCCCAGGAGGGTCCCTAACAGAAATAAGAGCTACAAGCGGCACGGTTCACGGCGCAAGTGGTAAATACGGATGAAGTAAGAGATTCGGAGATCGGTGTGCTAAGCTCTTTTCAATCCACAAGACAGTACCAGCTAGCCGCAGCGAGGGCTTCAAATTTTAGTGTGCGTACATTCCTATTCAAGCATTCAAACCTGGTAAGAAATCACAACAAGAGCGTCACTGCCTTCGGTTGGTTGTCATATCCTTCAATGTCTACAACCAGCCAGTTGCAGAGTCTTTCGGACCCCAACCTGGAAGACGGGAGACACCGATTCTACCTAGTCGCTCTGTGCATTTCTTCGTGCCTCGTTTCCGCGTTATCTGTTGACCTCCACGCGGTTTCTTCCAACCTGGAGCCGCAACTGCGAATAGTGTGCGGTGCGGCAGACGATGGCTGGGCACGTGCAATACGTGTCCTAACCAGCGAAACCGAATGATCTGAACTCGATGGGACAACGAGTTCTCCATCGAGTCATTACTAAATACTCGATAACTTACCTCAGAGTTGCTTACAAACTCACTCCATCCATCTGCAGTCGAATACTTCATAACAGTGTTAAGTTGACAACAGAATCTATGAAGACTAACGTTGCAAGGACATTGAGTAGATGCAGGAGCCCTACTGTCTACAATTACCATATTAGTGTCTTTAACTGTCGGTTTCGCTGATCCCGAGGTTCGCGTCCAGGAGTTCTAACACAGTCTATGTGAGGAAGTTTCCCATCTGGCTGTCTACCTATTTGTTTTTACATTTGTTTAATTTATCTATCCTTACATTCCTCTACTCCGAATCATTCTTGAATTTTATCCTCGTTTGCCTGAGAACCAGGCAAGTTTTATGTCCGGTCGAGGTTGTATCGACCATATCTTCACTCTCCGCCAAATTCTGGAGCACCGATATTCTCTTCGTAGACCCACCATCTCTGTCTTCCTAGATCTGAAAGTGGCTTTCGACTCAGTCGACCGCTCTAAACTCTGGTGCTGCCTTTCTTTGAAAGGTGTCCCCGAGAAGTTAATTTAAATATTACGATCGCTTTATACTAATAGTCGAAGTCGAGTCCGGGCTTACGGCACTTTTTCACCCGAGTTCACAACGGCAAGTGGTGTTCGACAGGGTTGCCCTCTCTCCTTTTCTATTCAACGTTATCATAGATTTGATTATGGGAACAGCCCTATCCTCGTGCGAGGATAGCGGTATCGATTTACTCCCAGGAGACAGACTGTCTGATCTAGAGTACGCAGACGACATTGTGCTACTAAGTGAAAATCCAGGTAAGCTACAAGCTTTTCTGAATAGTTTGAGTGCTAGTGTGTCTATGTTCGGTATGCGTTTTGCACTTTCAAAGTGTAAAATGTTACTACATGACTGGGTTGGTCCAGCTAACTGGGGAAGTAATAGAGCAGGTGGATAAGTTTTGTTATTTAAGCAGCTACATCTCACCCGGTGAACGCATCACGATGAAGTTTCAGCGCGCATACAGCAGGCTTGGTTGGTATTTGCCAACTTGAGACATCTGTGGTGCCGTCGCGACATGCGGCTGTCTGTGAAGGGTCGAGTGTATGCCGCGACAGTTCGGCCAGTCCTGCTCTACGGTGCAGAAACCTGGCCATTAAGAAAACAGGATAAAGATAAACTGTCGGTGTTTAAACACCGCCATCTACGCAGCATTGCACGAATCTGGTGAGGTAGCCGGATGAGCAGTGCTGAAGTTAGGAGCAGAGTTTTGGGTAAATACGGTCGTCCACTGGAGCAAGTGGTCGACCTCCATAGATTACGTTGGTTGGGATATGTGTTACGCATGTCACCAAATAGGTTACCACGGCGAGCGATGTTCGCCGAAGCAGAGACCGAGTGGAAAAAAGCCAAGGGTGGTCAAGGTAGGACCTGGCACGAGGGTATGAAAACCCAGTTCAGGAGACTGGGTCACATGGGTCCTGTTAGGCTCCCTGACTGGGGACCTCGGGATGATCGTACCCGATGGTTAAAGACACTGGGTGATATGGCTAGGTGTCGCAACCAGTGGCGTTCGTGCATCTCCTCAATTCCTTTGCAACCTTCTCCATTTTCTGTTCGACTCCACTCTCAACTTTCCTTTCTCCTATTCTTCATCCAACTGGGCAACCCAAAGACAGCAACCTAAACCGGCGCACGAATATGCGTGATTAATGGTTGTACAAACTGAAAGTGATCCTCGTTTGCATTCTTACTTCCGCACACCCGTGGTTTCATCACTGCTTCTACTGGAGAGGTACTCAGACCTGGTTTGACATGGCTGCTGTTTTCGTGTACAGCTAACCGGTTTGGCATCCCCGCTCGGCGGTAGTACTTTCCAACTCCCAAGAGCCGATCAACAAATTGAAGGGTTGCAGGACACTCGTAGCCTATTGATACAATAATGGAACCTTTTCTTTTTGTAGAGATTATTGTTCCATGAGTCGTTTGGTATACAGTCTGGACCCAGGCGTATATGAAATATGTTATCTTGACTACCATACTGGCTTGAGCTGCCGAACAATACAGTACGATGTTGAGACCGACGATTACCTAAATCCCTTGACTGCCACCAGCTGATTCGTAAATTCTTGTTTGAATTGGTTACCCGATGGTAAAGAGTTAATCACCAGAAATTTTTTATTACATTTTATCTGTCATCGTGCAGTGAAATACAGTGAAGCGAACTCTACTGATCGCTTTCAAACTCGCAATGCGTACAAGGTTAGTGGTAATATGCAAGTTGGACAGGAATTGGACCTGTTTTAACGTGATGAACAGTAGATGGTGTGGACTCCATATTCCCAAACACCTGCTGTTCGGCGATGAGCGCCGGGTACCCAAGCTCCATGACTTGGAGTGGCTGACCACATAAGGCCTCGATATTGGTATTGAAACGGACGTCAGAAACAATTCCTACCACCAAAGTTGAGCGGCAGTGGTGGGGTAGGAACCTCGGACCATATACTCCAAAGCACGCCGGTGACAGTGACTAAACCACTGAGCCACCACCACTATCGACTATCCTTTGTCCTTGTATACTTACTATTGCATTAGCAAGGTATATCCAGGTCGTTCAGACAGGTCTTTTTGAAAAACAGAATTATGACTAAACCGTAGTTAATGATTCCTCATATAGAATGGGTCTGGTGGATTTGAATCCCAGGGCTAGACAAACGACTGGAACAGTGATACGGCGCGGTAAATCTGAGTAACAAGGTGTTTGCCTGGCGAAAAACCGACAAGCTTGTTCCTGAAACTAGAAGCAATATACTGTATAATTCCTTAGTCTGTAGATGTTTTTCTGGTGGTAGGCAGCTCTGCCGTCGTCCGGTTCAATACCACCTAACCTATCGGGGCCTTATGTGGTTCACCACTCCAAGTCCCGGGGCTTAGGTTGCCGGTTTGCACCACTAAACAGCGGGTCCTCTTGACTATGGGGTTCGCTCCGTCTACTGTGCATCACACTTAGGTGTGTGATAAAAAACAAAACCTGTAAAAGGGATACGGAGAATTTTAGGGACAATAATCAGCACGTGTCATAATCTTTACCCTTGATATTTTTTAAGATTTCGGGGACGTACCAGAAGAAGTGTTTGCGTAGGCCAACCGGGGCCACAATTCATTGTTGAACGTACACCAAAGTTACCCAGAGGGCGGTCGAGAACCAGCATTTTTTTCGCCTTCAGTGCCCATTTTTTATCGCACTTGTCTAATGAACAGCAGATAGGAGGGCGAATCCCATTGTAACAAGGATATACCAAACTATCCTTTGTAAGAGCCACAACTCTGCTGCTTACTTTCGCCTCTTATACTCTGTTGCTTTTCCCTGTTGTGTTCTCAGATCTTTATGCTTTCCCTTCAGCTAGTTCTTTTCACCTCTAGTCCCAGAAAATGGTGTGACTCCCACACTCGACCATTCGCTGTAGCTCTGTCTCTGATGAACCATTGGAATTGAGGCTCCGTAACTGGGGTCTTTCGTGATCCTCCTATATAGTTTATCTACCCGAAATACCGGGGCATCTTTGAAGCTTATCAGTGCAAGAACCTGGACAATATTTCATCTCACCGGTACGCCATGCAAACCGATCGAACTACCTTTTATGAAATCCCAATAGAGGAACGTACAACACTTTTCCCCCTTATTAGCATTGTTCATCTCAGGATATACATTGTTTTGTTTGTTCTTGTCTTAATAACCTCGTTGTTCACTCACCCTTCATTGATTTCAGGACACACATTAAAGCAACTGGATATTGAATTTCTCCGCAGAGTTCAGGATAAGGTTAATGTCATTCCTGTTATTGCCAAGGCGGACACGCTTACGTCGGAGGAGTGCAAAGAATTCAAAAAAGCTATTTTGAACGAATTGGCTGCCAATCGCATACACACATTCGATTTCCCCGATCCTGATGAATGTAGCGGTATGTTCTTATTGGAATTTTTGCTTACTCGTGATTTAACATTTTTAACTTGGAGCGACAAGACCACCTAGCAATTCTGTTGTGTTTTTCTCATACTCTCTTCTTACTCCCGTCCCCCCGAATTTTGAAGGCAACATGTCTATTGACAAATCAAAACTGTCGTCGTTTGGATTTCCCGAAAACGATAGTGGCGATCGCAAATTGTCAGCAAACAAACCTCAGCAACCAAACCATCAAAATTTATTGCTCATATATCGAATTGTGCTGTTCTATATTACACTCAAACGTGCAGTGATAAAATAGTTCAGGTCATTTTAATTTTAATTTACTTTTACTGCACTGAACGTTTTCCGTCAGATACCTCATTTCAAAATTGTTTTACCCTACTACCTCTACCTGTCTATAGAATTCGAGTCCATGGATAGTATCCGTTGAGTTTCATAGGAATAGGATATGAAACAATATCCCAAGCACCGTTCGGGGCTGTTTTATTACTCGATCGTCCAAACCGGAATATAAAGTGGGTTATCAGCACCTCATCCGATATTTTTGTTTAAGCTTGCCTCCCCAATTGCACCTTACAAGGTAGCGGGGTATTTCAATACGAGCTGGTGGCCCATCGTTTGTCTCAGTCGCTTCTTTTATTACACACCGGTGTGTGATGAACGGCAGACGGGGTAGAAACCGATAGTCACGAAGATCAGCTGTTCAGTGGTGGCAACTGACAACCTAAGTCCCAGGACTTAGGTGGCGGGACTCGAACCTCGGACCACAGGGTCGAAAGCACACCGGTGACAGCTACTAAACCACCGCGCCATTGTCACCCGTAGAGGTTCGCATCAGGGAGATGGAGCACGATATGAGCAGTGACCTTATTTGGTGTAGGGTTGTAATCGCCATAGTGCTATCTTCATACTCATACTATGTTTTGTCATGGAGAGCTCTTGTCAAGGAAAATTCCACTGCATCTTCAGGTACTGTTGCTGTCGTCTGCTACCATTTTGCACATTTAGGCTTACCTTATTGACGGTTAGCTACTGGGCAGATGGCTGAACCCCCAATTCACGACCTGGAGACTCGTGCACTGGCATATAGCTCTGTTTTCGACAATTAACTTGAAGTGATAAATTGCAGAAGGGATGGAATCTGTTGTCTATAGTATTCACCGTTCGATTATAGAACACAAACCTAAAACCTAGGACGTTGAATGATGAATCGCATCTGGCCCTAGTGGAATAGGTGTGGTAATTATTCGGGTGATAACAAAGCTGTCGTGTATAAATATTCGGACCGGTAAATTTTAATAGGCGGTACCGAGCTTTCGGGTCTGTTATCAACCTAATCAGTGGTTATACACACTTGCTAATAAAGCTGGCTATCACAAACCAAAGCCTAATCAACTATTTACTCTTGACAAAGCTGGTTCACTCGTTTTGTTTTCCGTAATGATATTATCTTAGCTTATTCTTTATTTTCATGGGTTTACCTGATGGGTGATGGTGGTGTAGCGGTTTGGTCGCTATCACCTGCGTGCTTTGGACCTTGTGATCAGAGGTTCAAGCCCCGCCACCGCCACTCAACTTTGGTGGTAGACAACTTTGCTGTCGCCCGGTTCTATACCACGACTGACCTATCGGGGTCTTATGTGATTCGCCAATCTAAGTCTCAGGGTTTAGGTTACCGGTTTCCATCACTGAACAGCAGGTCTTCGTGATTAGGGGGTCCGAGCCGTCTGCTGTTTGTCACACACTTGTGTGTAATAAAATAGTTAGGTAACACGGGAAACCGGAGAAAGACGCTGCATGTCTCCTGACTGTTCAAGTTGAGGCTGAAGATGTACACCTCTAAATGGTGTGGCTTACTGAAATTCGAACAGCATACCCTGTGTATTTGTCCATGCTAGTGTCTGCCAATTTAGTCGCTTTTCTCAGATGAAATCAAATTAGAATCGTGCTTTCAATACGGTGAAATGACAAGCATTCATTGCGCCTGACCAAACAAACTCACCTGTTTCACATATCATTCTAGACCGCGGCAATGAAGAAGAACTGATAAAAGTTCGACGTCTTCGGGATCGTGCGCCCTTTGCGGTTATTGGAGCAAACACACTTGTTGTTGGGGAAGGCGGCAACCGTGTGCGTGCTCGCTGCTATCCATGGGGTGTGGTCGAAGTGGAGAATATGGAACACAATGATTTTGCCGCACTTCGATATTTGTTGCTCACAGCTTTCATGCAAGTAAGTGGGTATCTGCCAATGACCTTCCATAACTAGCGCTTACAAGATATTTATATAGCTTTTATCAACCACGGCTATTCAAACGCATATGCATACATATCCACTTGATGTTTTCCTGTGAGGTGATTCCAACTCTTCATAATTATAGTTCCTCTCAGATTTGCCCCTTCGAGTTACCGTTTATTATTATTTTTTATTATACACCAAGTGATTTATAGCAAAAGGAATAAACCCAATAGTCAACGATATACTGTAAAGGGGAGGTATGTGAGGGAACATTCAAGTAAGAATCAATTTGTTGATCCTGCTTTTGGAAAGGATAAGGTTATAAGAGCTTGGAAACACGGAAATGGGGAGAGTGTTCAAAATTTCGCAGTCCTCGCGAAAAAAGAAGATTGAAAGATAGAAGCCCGACATCTGGGGACAGAAACCTGGTAAAGATGACTGCCCGCCTGAGAACGAAATGAACAAGAGAAAGTCGATGGAATGGGAGCCGCTAAAGCGAGTTTGGAAGAGCAGGAACCAAAATAGCAACGATAGAAAACAGATAACGAAGCAACTGCCCGGCGATGGCAAAGCGACTGAAGGTTGGAAGTTAAAGACGGTTTGTCGATCAGCCGGATGGCTTTAGGTTGAACACGGTTGAGGAGAGAAAGAGCGGAATAAGAAGATCCACCCCATACGTGACTGCAGTATTCGAGCTTCGGGCGGATTTGATCTTTGTATAAAAGGAGGTGATTGGGCGTAAAGAAACGCTTAGCGCGGAATAGAAAACCAACTTTGCGCGCAGCGCTAGAGGCAAGTGTATAAACAAAAGGGGAACCAATAGAGAGAATTTATGGATAAACCCAGGAGGAAGAGAGAATTTGTAGAACGAAGGGGCAGAGAATCAAAAATCAGTTGAAGAGAATGGGGGACACTTTTAAGAGAGACTGAGAGGAAAGAAGTTTTGGAGGCATTAAAACACATGGTTTATAAAACCCCATGCGGAGATTAGTCTGAGATCGGAAGCAAGAGAAGCTTTAATGACGTTACGATCGTGGTCGATGTTGGTTTTAGCTTGACGGAGTGTGGGGTAAGAAAGAGATCAATGGAGTGGTATCGGCAAAGCAGTGGATGAGATTATCGGTTTGGGATAAAAGATCGTTGATAAATGAAAGAAAGGGTGGGCGAAAGTATGGAACCTTGGGGAACACCGGTGTTCACAGGAAATAGCCGAGATAGGACCCAATCTACTCGGACAGAGGTAGTTCACTTGCTGAGGAAACATCGGAGCCACGATACCAGAGACGGGTGGAATCCGAACGTGGGTA